AAACCTTCCTTCAGGAAACAGTACCAAGAAAAAGAAGAAGGCAGAGAGAAAGTGATGTGAAGACACAAAAAAGAATGGACAGTCCTGTCATTGAAAGATGGTTTTTCTAAGGCTAAAGACAGAGAGAAATGGAGAAAGATGGTCAACAAATCTTGTGTGGTGCCCCAACAGTCCTACAGACTAAGGGATAGGTGAAGGTGATATAAATCTAATGGATATATTTAGTTCAGAAATTTACTAGTTAGTTCTACAAGTCACTACATAATAGTTGATATTAGGCCTACAAAAAAAAGGCTACATAGAAATCTTTATACAGTAATATAGTCTAGATCTAAGTGATAATCATTCCTCTTTAAATATTATTTATTAAGCTATAAAATATGAATGATTAATATATTCTTCAGTCACAAGTAAGCACACAAATGAAGGCTGTGATACAGAGAGTGTTAAGCGCAAGTGTCACAGGTATGTTTCGTGTGTGTGTGTGTATTCAAGAGTCACAGTCCTATATGTATCTCAGCACTGCCAATTCTGGGATGGGTAGCCGAGTGGCAAGGTAAACTGCAGGGGTTTCAAATCCCAATATAGATAATTAATTTTAATTCAAGATTTGACTGGAACAGAGATTTGTTGGCTGAGTGCCTATTGGCAGCTTTGAAACACTTTCCCAGATACCCCCTCCCTCCCACATGTCCAGAAAAAAATTCAACAAGAGCTAGTGCACTGAAAATGTTGTAAGAGTGATGTACAAAAGAAATAATGTTAGCATGAAACTTTATTAATTGTTTAATGGATGTGTACAATTGTTTAAATTAAGTACTTTAGTATTAACATGCGTAAACTGAAACACAATATCTTTTCACTTCAGTTGACAATGAGATTGTTGGCTCCATAGGCAAAGGCCTCTGCGTTTTAGTGGGGATCTCACGACATGATACAGAAAAAGAAATGGAATATATGTAAGCTGTAAATAAGTTGCTGACTTAAGATTAAATTAGTTTTAAGTATAATTTGTCTATTGAAAGTTGAAGAGTGTTCCATTTAAATTGACTTTATTTTCAGAGTAAGAAAAATTTTAAACATTAGAGTATTCAATGATGAAAAAGACAAACGCTGGATGAAAAGTGTCATGGACATGGGCTATGAAGTACTTTGTGTTAGTCAGGTAACTGGGAAATTCTGAGGTGGCATTATGACAATAGAAAATTTTAATACCACATAAAAGATCTTTCTGAGGATTAGTAGCACTTGCACAGAGTCTTTGAAATCATTAAGATCAATTATTCAGATCTGACTTGACATCATATAAGGATAACAAGAAAGTCTATACAGCTTTAATAAATAGCTGACATTAGTTGGGAAACATATATGTCATTCTCATTTATCATTGACCCCAAAACAGACTTTAGGCAGAATTTTTCCAGTGACAGGTTGGGTTAGTTTAAAATTCAGTGGAGCTCAGCCCACTTAGCTATTTTTTTTATTGACATATGCGAAAAATATGCTGATTTCAACTAAAATGTTATAAAAAAGCTAAAATTATAAATATAACTCAGAAAGTAGAAAAGTAACTAGAAATGAAAAAAAAAGTATTTTTAGGTTAATAATTTTTTTATTTTTTTTACTGAACTCTAAAATAATTTAGGTGTAACAAAATACCTCCCCTCCCCCCAATCTATAATCTACATTTCAGGTATAGTGAGAAAAATAACACATAACATAACATAATAATAATCACATGCAGCTATTTTAAAGAAAATAAATGATCAAATAAATAGCACTCTAAGAAAAGAGGGCAAATTCTAAATACTAATTGTAACTGCATCTTCTGTGGCTATTAGGAATTGGGCACTTAAAAAAAAGTCTGAATGAATTGGTTCTGAATAATTATTTAAAGTTAAGATTCATTATTTAACTATCAATATTTATATGGTACTACTTAATTGTATATATTAGTTTCATCCTATTTCAGTTTACCTTGGAATCAACCTTGAAAGGAAATAAGCCAGATTTTAGATATGCCATGAGTCCAGAATTGTCTCAGCCTTTTTATAACCAGTTCTTGCAGGCCTTGAAAACTCAGTACAAAGCAGACAAAATTCAAGGTAAACAACAACAAAGATGTTAACTTTTTTCTTTTTAATAATGAATTTCAATTATTGTATTAATTAAAAAGCTTACCTAGCCTAATGTCTAGTGCATCAAATTTTGATGGCCATTTTCAGATGGGAAATTTGGTGCCTATATGCAAGTTGATATACAAAATGATGGTCCTGTAACTATCCCGTTGGAAATTAAGCCTGGGGCTCCATCAAAGGTAAATAAGAACAATACTTAACTATGAACAACAGTTATCTGTGATAGAATGAATAATATGTATTTTGTATAACTTTCAAGAGAACATAACATACAAAATATATAGGGTTACCAGACATCCAGCAGAAAGAGGCCATGTCCTCCTTTTTGGGGTCCTGTCCTCCGCCTGGCAAGCATTGGCCTAAAGTATAAAAGTATTTTGCTTCTTCACAACAATTAGATATTATCCATCAATTGAATTTATTCCTTCCTGTCTTCTGGATTCATTGCACAAACTCACCAATGGACTGCAAGTAAGATGACAATTTGTTTGACAACCTCTTTCTTGAAGTGGTTTTTTTTTTCAAGAATGTTCACAAGAAACCAGTTACTTAAAATACACCAAGACCTGCTAGTGTTTATTTTGCATTCTGAGGCATAATAATAAAGTTGAAAATTCATTTTTGCTAATCAACATGCAGTGGGCAAATGAGGGAAATACAACCTCCAGTGAGAGGCATTTTTTTTCCTCAATCTACTATCTGACAAAAAAAAAAAGTTCCACAAGTACGTTTGTACTAATGATGTACAGTTAGGAAAAGATGTTGTGTCTAAGAATTGCAATACTAAATATAATCAAGTTCTACAGCCTTTGATTTGCTGAGATGTTTCATTAAATACAGTGAAATCCTAGATCTTGTTTTAAAAGTTTACTTTGCCTTTTTTTTTAAATTTTGTGTCCAACTTTTGTCCTTCTCTGGGTTTTTTTTTTGTCTTGTAACGCTAAGAATAAGTATTCCATATAGTGACAGAAAAAAATAACATAACAAGTTTTTAACTGCTGAAACTGCGGAGTAAAACTTAGCTGTCATCTTCTTATCTTATATAATACAGATGTTACTTCAAGGAAGATGATTACATCCTACCTAATCTAATCCTGCATGTCATTAATCTTACACTTAAACTCTGCCAATCATTGGTATTCCTAGCTGACTCAGGCAACTCATTCCATGCTCTAATAGCACTAGGGAAGGAGCATTTGTACACGTTTGTCCTATCATATGTATCAAGAAATGTGCCTTTAGCTTTGTGTCTGAGTATTTCATTAGGTTTTGTTTTTGTGTTTGAAGATTATGGTTCAGTGTTTTATGTATAGTCTTCTATCCTGAAAGATCTACAGATTTAATGATTTTACTAAAGGTGTTACTCTAATCAAATGTTAATATTCATTTGTTATGAATCTCACTAATCTATTTTGCTTCTGTTTTAGTCCGCCCCCCGGGAAAGAATTTTGGTTTAGTGAATGTAGAGATCTACTAGACTTTTAAATAATATTCCAATGATAAGCCTTTAGATCTAGACCTAGAAGATGATACACAAAATTTCCTGAACATTAATTTATTAAACTCTTTGAATTGAATCCGGAAATACCGAAGACATATAGTCCTTTTAAGATAAATATTTTCTAGCCAAATTTAAATTAATTTTTTTATACTAGAGTTATCCCAGTATGGCCAAGCTCGTAATTTTTGTTCCAATGATATCAACTGTCAAATATCTAGGAAAATCATTAGAGCAGTTTGCTAGAACCGTGCCAACTGCCTTGTAAGTGGGTATAGAATTTATATATATAATATATATGTGAGTTTTTAAAAATCTTACTTTTATTGTCTTCAGGATACCAAAGAAGAAGACCAGCCTGTACAACCTCTTTCTTGACAAGAAGTTTGTTTTAGCGACAGAAATATATTTCTATTAATTTGAATGTAACAAAACAAAAAACAACTACTAATTATGTTCTGTGAACATTAAAGAGTTAATAAATTACTGAAGAAACCTGATTTTGCATTAAAATGTAAATCAGTTATTAATTGATTGAACAGTCTGCTGAGATGTACAAGTATTTTAACAGAAAAAGTCAACAAGTCAGTAACAAGTCAATAGAACCTGATACGCTAGCACAACTACCATGTGTAATTATGTTTTTTTAGACATTGTACTGGTACATTTAATAGATAGGTTGTTTGGTTTCTTTTTGGCCAATAACATGAACCTGCCTATTACAGAATAAAGTGGAAGTTTCTTTGACTATAGTTTTTTTTATCATATAATTTTATGAGAATGAACACATCAAAAAATTACTTGTCACTTCTAGAAGGCAGTCAATTCATTTCTTTTACTCGTATTCAAAAGATTAAATCCAAACTCAGAATGATCCAGTCAAACCATCCCTAGTGCTATTGTATATGTTGTCATATATACAGTTGAGACTTAGCAAATTGACATAAAGCATCTAACCATTTGTTTTTCTTTTCTTACACTTTAAAGATAAGATAATTTTTATTGATCCAATCTAATGGAAATTCAGTTTGACTACAATTGACAACCTCAGCGTAAAAACAATAACAATATAGATGAAAAATATGAACAACATTCACACACAAAACACATACACATTCACAACCAGCGCTTTATAAATTACACTTCTATGTACTTTCGATGACGACAGATGATCTTGTAACACTCTGACCGAAAGTGGGATAAAGGAGTTTTTAAATCTTTCTGTTTTAGTCCAACTGGAAAGGAGACAACCACTTTATTCAGATCTTATGTAACAGGGGTTTAATGGGTGCAGGTTGTCTTTAAGAATCGTGAAAAAAAAAGTTTAACAAAATCAACAGTAGATTTATATGAAGTATTTATTACGAATAATTCACACTAAATCGGAAAAAAAACTTCAATCAATCAAACTTTAACACATTGTCAAAGTCACATCTTCACCATTAACTTTGGACATGCAACAATGAGAAACAGCATACAAATGTAAGATATAATGATAAATTTTTAAAACATATTTCTAGCTTAGGAAAAAGAGGTGACCTCTCCCTGCAATTATTTTTACAATTTATTAAATATCACACACTGTTAATCCTTATGGGAGCAAATTTTACAATGACTCCTTGCAACTGCTAACAATAAAAACATTTTATATAAAAAATTAGGATACAAAATATATCAACCTAATTTTCCTCTGAACTCATGACATTGTATGGGCACTACCAGCATATCCAACAAAAGTCTTGGTAAATGCAGTCTTGTACACTGAATGCCAAATCAGTGGTAACAAAATTAAAACCTACTGGCTATTTAAAAAAAACAAAAACATGATCAATGAATCAGCACCATTGGACCATATATGTCTAGTTTTACATCCTTACACTTTTACATCCACACACTGTGCATGCACATCTTGATAGATCTGGGTTAACAACTAAACGATTCCTCGAAATCCTTATGGTGTATTTAAAATTGAAATATTATAACCCATAAGAAACAATAAATTACAAATGTCCGTTCATTATGGCTAACTGATTCTGCACACTCTACTGCAAACATTATTTTAGTTAGCACTTGTTGAAAGACATTTTCAGCCTCTGAAACAGGCATAACAAGCAATGGAATTTTGTGGATTATTAACTTTTGTTAACTGGCTTCATATTGGCTTCACTTCGTAACCTAGATATCAATAATTGGGCTTCCTTTTGTTGTTCTATCACTTCTCTAGGCAGCATCCCTTGTTTCTGCCAATAGATAAACATGTCATAAAGGAACTATTTTTCTGGTGGAAGTTAAACAAACAAAACACTGATAAATCTGTATTGATTTTCCAGATCTAAATAATTTTTTTTTTTCTAATTTCTATTCAAAAACATTATTTCTTTTTGTGTATAAGTTCCATAGTAGTGATATCAATTATTTTATCTTAAAAATTACAGATGTTCCTTCAAATATTTTATGATAGTCATATAACCTATCTGTTACTGGTATCAGGAGAATCGGTTGTCCTCCCAAACTGCTGAAATTCATTGAGTGCTTTCATGAGGAAACAAAATGTACAGCAAAATTCAATGAAGCCCAATCAGCACCTTTTGAGGTCAACAGTGGTGTCAGAGTTGTTTCCTCACACATTTATGCATATTCTTCTCCTGCCTACTGCATTATGCTTACAGCGACATCAACAAGATCCTCTGGAAAACTCTTTAATGTTTCAAGATTGAGGGAAAAAACCAAAGTTAGGAAGGTTCTTAGGGAACTCCTCTATACTGATGGTGCAGCTATTGTGGCTGACTCTGCTACTCAGCTTCAGACTCTGATTGACAAACTATCTGCTAGAAGTTTGGCTTAAATATTAGTAAAAGCAAGACTAAAATACTAGTTTAGAATACAAATACTGCACCTCACGTAACCATTAATGGCCTACAACTGGAAACTGTTGACCATTTTTGTTATTTTGGCTCCATTGAAAGATAAAGACATTAAAAACAGGATAGCCAAGGCAATGGGCACCATGTCATGGCTGCAGAAAAGAGTGTGGGACGATACCTTGCTGACTAACAATACAAAAGTCTTAATCTACTGGACATGTGTGATGAGTACTCTGCTATACAGAAGTGAAAGATGGTCAATTTACTCATGGCAGGAAAGAAAGCTAAGTATCTTCCACCTCCGATACCTAGGGCAGATCTTTAAAATAAGGTGGCAAGCAAAAATAATCAATGAGGAAGTGCTGCAAAGAGCAGGGTGTCATGACATCCACACTGTAATCAGCAGCAGATGCCTAGGCTGGCATGCCTGATCACATAAATAGAATTGTGATATAACAGAAAGTAGGAGAGCCACTGGTCATCCCCTTTTAAGATATACACTGATTTATGCAAATGGGACATGAAGCTCTTCAAAATCAAAACTAACAGTTGGGAAAAAATGGCACTGGATAGATTCACATGGAGAGCGAGCATAAAGGAAGGGTCTTGGATTGCAGATGCCATACACAACAGCAGTAGAAAGAAGGGTAAAAGTGCGATGGCACCTGGTGATTAAAGATTCCCAACCTGTGACAGCAGCTATGTATGAAAGATTGGCCTTTTTAGTTACAAAAGAAGTTGCAAAGGAAAAAGATCATCTCCAGAGATGTAAAATGCCACAGATGTATAGCCTTTTCCTGTGTTCTAGTCTTCAGAAATTGATTCTCCTGGCGTTAAAACATTATTCTCATATTAAGTGTTTTCTTGCAAGAAGAGCTGAGAAATGAATTCTCCTGGCATCTAGAGCATCCTAATTTTACCATTACATACTGTACACATACGTCTGTAATGGGTGTTATCATTGTAAGATCATATTTGTATCAAGCGAGATGTCTTGTCAAAGATCTTTTTTTTTACACAAAAGTCATCTACGTAATGATAAATATATTCCTTGAGTGTTGGGAGAAATTCGACAGTTCTGATATAAGAAGTTCAAGAAAAAAGCACATCAGTAAAGATGTCTAATAGAATTTTTTGAATGTCTTTTTTAAACATTTTTGACTGAATAGTGTTTGTTTGTTTGTAAAATGTTCCTGCAGGACGACGGGGGATGGGAGTGGGCAAGGTTTGAACCCGGGACTATTGATAAGTTCGAATGACAGTCCAGCGCGCAAACCGCACGACCGGGCAGCCTCTCACAAAAACATTTTTAAAAGACATAGTTAAATCTATCTCTTATAAGAAAAAATCTCTTGAACTTAAAATATTTTAATATTTATTATAAATTGTCTAAATCTAAATATAGAATTAGATAAAGTCTAGACTCTACATTCTAAATGTTATTTTGTGACTGAGAAGTCCTAAAATATTAAAAGACTGCAATAGTCTATAGAATATAAAAAAAATAATAGAGTCTAGACTGGACAGCAGACATCACTATCACGGCCACTATCACTATGGCTATGTGTCTATCATGGTTGGGCGAGCTTACCTCCCTAATCTCTTTTGGATAATCTGCTGTTGATGAGGTAGCAATGGCAAAAAGACCCAATCCAGTAGCTAAACCACCAATACCAAAAAGTAAGGATTTGATATACCGGTAGGACATTGTTTCAATGTTATAATTCAGTGTAGGCTGTGGCAACAGTAGGCTAAATTGTAAGATAAGTTGAATGACAAAAAAAAAATGAATACAAAGTTTTAAAAAAGTGAATGTTTTTAGGTAAGCTAGAATCACAGACCTATATATCCTATATATAGGTCAGTGACTAGAATCTACCCATAGACATATAAAAAATGTCTATGAATCTAGCTTATATAATTTCTAGACTAGGGACTTAATTCGCCTTTTTGGCGGTGAACTCTTTTATTTGTAATTGTGTTTCTGAAAGAAAACCGAGACTTTAGTTTAGGCTTAGGGAATCTGAGTCTCTAGACGAGATTAGAATCAAATAGATCTAGAATCTAGATGTTCTAAATATTGTTACAGATCTAGATCTATATGAGTACGAGATTTAGTATTTAGACTAGGACTAGACTCTAGACTTTACTCAGTAGCACTTACTTAGAAGTTACCTGACTTTGACGACTTAGTTTTAGTTTTAGTTTACAGTTACAGTTACTAGACTCTAGTTACTCTAGACTTAACTAGACTCTGTCACTCTCTATATCTAATCTAACTCTAGGCCATAAGTCTATTGAATATTCTCTAGACTAAGACTTTAGATTTCTTTAGAATAGGAAATTACCAGGCAATAATAATTATAAATTAGATCTATAAATATAATTAACTAGCCTGGCATTGCCTGCGGGTCTAAGTTTGTGTTTACTAATGTAGTGGATAGGATTTAGATGTATGTTAAACTTAGCTAATGATCCTTTCACGTTATTTCTCTTTCCAAACGAAAATAAAATTAGTTTTTGCGAAAATGGGTTTACCTGAAGCCGATACATTTATATCTATAAAAAACGAAAAGAGCGATAGCTTTGTTAAATGAATGGGATTATAAAGTGAACAATTAAAGGAAATAATTTCTAGTACGCAATTCATGAATGAATATAGATCTAGGTCTATGATCTAGGCCTATCTCAACTCGGCTTCGCAGCTTTTGTAAACGAATGTAGTCTCTTAAAAATAATGCTTTAGAAAACCAAATTTGAATGTTTATTTGATCAAAATATGAAATGAATGGACTATAATTAGTATGTTCATGTGTTTAAGTATAAAACTATCTGTGCGAAGAGAAGTTTTATCATCTTAGAGCAGAATTAGAATTTTAGATCTAGGGATGGGATTATAAAGTAAACAATTAAACGAATTAATTTTTTGTACGCGATTCATTAGGGTATTGTCTAATGAAAGAATGTTCATCAGGAAATCTGTAGTTATATATATAAGGAACTAATTAATGTAAAAAAATGCTTTTAAAACACAAAATTGAAGGTTAATTTTATTATATAATGAAATCAAAGGATCTTCTTTTGTATTTTCATGTGTCAAAGTAAAAAACTATCTGTGCAAAGTGTATTTCTTAAAATTGGATCTAGGTCTAAATCCTTTCGATCTTTTCTCATGTCAACATTGTAGACATGGCCTAGATTCATAAATACTATAGCTTTAATAGAGTCAGACAACTTTATTTTTTTTTTGAGGGTCTTAAGTTTGTTTTAGGGCTACAATACACACACTAAGGTCTAAGTTGGTACCCAAGAAACATTCCTGCCAAGTTTTATCAAAATCGGTCAAGCGGTTTTGATGTCTATAAGTCACATACATACACCTCACATTCTACTTTATAGTATAGATAATAATAAATTATATCAATCATTATTCATATATAATGATTATAAAAAAATATTCAAATAATGATCATTATCAATGATTTCTATGAATGAATATCATTTATCATACTTGATACTTCTAGAAGTACAAGTAGATTAGAATTGGAATACTATTTTTTACTATCATTATCATAATCAATCATAATGATTATCATTATATTTATATCATTCATTATGGTTGATATTGGTATAGAATATAGATCTAGAATATAAATATATATGTATATTATTATTAATATTAATAAATCTAAATCTAGACTCACTCTAGGCTTAGGTCTAGACTCTAGATCTAGAATGATACTAGAATCTAGGACTGTCACTATTATCACTAGAATCTAGATCTATGTAATGTACACGAATGTGACTATATTCTTTACAATTATATATATATAATACATATAGTAGTTCTAGCATTTAATATATCTATATAAGTCTATACTAATAGATAGATAATAGTGAGCAAATAGATGCTATCTTATTAGATTTTCCAAGGCTTTTGACAAAGTTCACCACCAAAGTTTGCTTAAAAAATTAAAATATTATATATATATATGGCATTGATGGTCCATTGCATCAGTGGCTTAAAGATTTTCTGATAGGGAGAGAAGAAACTTTAATAATAAATGGCTCTAAATCAACACAAAACAGTAAACTTAGGTGTACCTCAAGGAACAGTCATAGGTCCACTACTTTTTTAAATTTACATTTATAAATGATTTATCAAGAACAAAAGT